CCCACTTTATCTAATATCCCAAGGCTGTATCCCCATTTAGAGGCGATTCTACAGCTATGTGTTTAGCATCATTGTTTTTGAATTTGTTTTTGTGCCTTCCTCTGACTTCCTTCTGACGTTTCTTTGGCCAGTTGCTCCATGTTCGGGGATCTTTCCGTAAGTCTTTGCAGTACCTTTTGGTTTCCATGGGCCTGAATAATTGTCTATCATCTTGGTATATTCACTCAAATTTGGGGACTAATGCTCTGCCGCCTTCTGGCCGAGGGTCTCTCCCCTACAAGGACGCAGGGGTCCACACGGGTGCATCAGCATCATGGTGATGGTCACACAGACCAGAAGCAACAAAGCCAACCATTTGCCCAGTGTCCCGCGTTAATTTTGGCAGGTTCAGAATTCGAGCCCGCTCCTTCTGGACCTTTCTTTTATTTGTTTCTTAAATCTGGAGCTGCTCTTCCCTACAACTGTAGACATATAATGGCAAATACATTGTTGAGGAGGTTGAACTGGTGGACAGCAGTTGCACAGGAGCTCGGAGCAGCAGTTCCGTTCCGTAAGAGCTCGGCCTCGGGCGTGCTGAGGTTACGCAGCAAAGCTCAGTGCCAGTGCCCCTCACCCCAAAGGTGCCCTGTGCTGCCATCTGCTCGCCCTCGGAGATGAGTGGGTGGCAATGCCTGTGGTACTGGGACAGCCCCCTGCTCTTTGGCCTCTGCCTCGCGTCTCTGGACCCGGTAGACCTTGTGAGGTTTTCCCCTCTTCTCCTCAAGATCTGTAAGGAGCCCCTTGCGTGGGGCCTGAGCCAAGTTCCACCAAAGCCGGTGGAGAGTCTCTGTCTGGCTCACGTAGATTATTAACGATCCCTCGGCCATTGAAATGCTGAAAGTGATGGGTGGGTAGAGGCCAACCCACTCTGGCCCTCCTCAGAAGAATCACTGCCCACATTGCAGACCCCCTCCATGAACTGTCTATCCATTAGGAATGGCCACAGGGGAGCGATCCCCAGGAAAGGAGCCCTCAGCTCCTCCTGACCCTCTTCTTCCTCACACAGGAGGATACGCTTTAAGGGCAGAGGGTACCTTTAAGGGCACAGGACCCTCCAACTGCCAGAATAGGCAAATATGGTAATTTGTGTAGCCATCACAATGGCCTCCTGATGCCATGAGCTACCTCACCGTGTTCTGTTCCGCACGCTATAAATCCCGGGCCCCCAGCACCTGGCCCCCAGTCGCTGAGCTACTGGACTGGAGATGTCAGCCATGCCTGGCAGAAAGAGGTCCCACAGCGAAGCGAGCGGGTGCCCACCTCTGCGTGGGCAAACGGAAAAAGATTTTCTGGGGGTGCGGAGGAAGAGGCAGCGTCGGAGGGGAGGTACCAGCAGCTACTTGGCGGTGATGGCCGTCGCTCAGGTGGCTGATGGTGTGGAGCCCATGGAGGTGGATCCACCTGCAGACGAGGAGGAACCCATGGAGGTGGATCCACCTGCAGGATGGCTCCCCTGGCACCACTCCATCGTGCCAGGGCCCCCCTCAGGAACACCATCGACGCGGGGCCGTAGGAGCGCC